TAATATAAAAAATGGCCACAACTAAAGTTGCCATATGACAACCCTAGTTGTGGTTAACTTAGAGCAAACTTGACACAGTATTTATTATATTTTAGTTCATCTTTCATTTAAATTAAGTTTTATTAAAAGGTCTTATAAGTGTAGAAGTCAGGAATGAGGCCTTAGGCTATGAGTCTAACACTAAATCGAGGAAAAAAAAATGAATTGTTAGCAGTGAGGTTTCTTCATTGCTACATTGACCTACATTGCTACATATACCAGATTGACCTGCACGTAGTTCTCCCTAGAAACCATCGAGTTTCATTATTGTTAAATTTGTCACTTGAATCCAGCTGACCTGCTTCATCTTACCCCATCAACTTGTTCCTCGCCAACGTATACCGTAACACAGGCGGGAATACCATTCTATTATCATTAAATAAAAAAAAAAACACCAAACTAACAATATCCTAAAATTCAATCTGGTCCACTTAATTTTGTTTGCAGTGGGATAAAAAAATCAAAAAAAAATTGTTTGCTCATTAATAAAATTTGTAATAACGCCATCTTGCATCTTATTTTTTTAATATTTATTATAGAGTTAGCAAGGAAAACTTTTAAAGCAGCATCTGTTCACCCATACACGTCTTTAGTGCAATACATACAATATAGATGGCGCTGATCAAAAGTTATGAACCCTTTACTCTCATTTACATTTTAAAATTTTTATTTTACATTATTACCTAATATACTATTCATTATTATTTACAATTGCTTTACAAATGACGATGTTGTTACCCATACCTTCGTGTAGGTATTTTACTATGCGAAACCCAAAACTTTCATTCAAACACGCACAGAGTAGTGGGTGTCGAATTCATCTCACCTGCTGAGCTGCGGAGGACCGTGGAGCGCCTCCCCAGGAGGAAGGCGCCGGGTCCCGACGGAATTTCCAACGCCGAGTTAATGCAGCTGCCGCGAAGGTGCCTGGTGGCGCTCACCAGGCTCTTCAATGGAATCCTCCGCACAGGCCATTTTCCAGAGTCCTGGAAACTGGGTAGAGTGATCGTCCTCCCCAAACCGGGCAAGGATCGCCGTTTGCCAGGAAGCTACCGCCCCATCACGCTACTGGCGCACATAGCCAAACTGTTTGAGAGGTTGCTGCTCCGACGGATGGCCGAACATTTCACTCCTAGGAGCGAACAGTTCGGCTTTCGGTCGGGGCACTCGACCACTCTGCAGCTGGCGCGCGTGCTGCACCACCTGGCCGCCGAGCACAACCACGGTCGAGTGGTGGTCGGTGTCTTCTTAGACATCGAAAAAGCATTTGACCGTGTTTGGCACGACGGCCTAGTATATAAACTATTACAATATACTAGCACGCCGCCCGCGTATGTGCGACTGGTGGCGTCGTTTCTCAGGGGCCGTAGCTTCTTCGTTTCGGTGGAGGACGCGCGCTCCGACACCCGCCCAGTGGCCGCCGGAGTTCCACAAGGTAGCTGCATTTCCCCGGCGCTCTACGCGCTGTACACGAATGACATCCCTGTCCTGGACAGCCAGCCCTTTACACTGGCCCTGGAACGGGATGTCATGCTCGCTCTGTTTGCCGACGACACGGGATTTTTCACGTCGTCGTACTGGAAGACGAGAGCCGCCGCTCAAATGCAGCGGCAACTGGACCTGCTGCCGGTGTGGTTGGACAGGTGGCGCATGGCCGTCAATGTTGACAAAACGGTCGCGCTACTTGTCCGCCGCAGTCGTACAGCACCGCCGCCGCCCTTAAGGCTCCTTAATAAGGAAATCGCGTGGGAGAGCACCGTGCGATACCTAGGGGTCGACATCGACCGGTCGTTGAGAATGGTGCCGCAGGTGTCGCGTGCCATAGCGCAGGCTCGCGCGGCGCGCGCCTTTCTCCGACCGGTGCTAACTTCGAGGTTGCCGTTACGGACGCGGGTCTCTATCTACAAGACCTACGTCCGTTCACGGTTAACATATGCCGCACCCGCTTGGTATGCACTGTGCTCTCCGACGCTTAGGCGCCGGCTGCAGGCCCAGCAAAACATCGCTCTCCGCTTGTGCACGGGAGCGGGCAGATACGTCCGTAACGACGTTATCGCCCGCGGCTTAGGGGTCCCAACGGTGGAGGAGTTCGTTGTCGACATGGCGAGCAAAATGTTCGCCCGTGCCGACAGCGGACACCATCAACACTTGAGGGGCCTCGCGCCGCTGCATGCGCGTCCACCGGACGGCCGTCCCACGCCTAGGGACCTCCTGTGCACAGGCGAATAGTGATCGTGATTGCCTCGTCTACCAGTATGACGACTTACCTACCCTTTTTCCCCATTTCCCTTCTTCTTTCTCATTCCCTCCTCTCGCCCGTTCCAAGTGTGTAATTATATCCCCCGCGTCCAAGCGGGGGGAGGGCCGACACACTTCTTGTGTCGACCCTTACTAACACTTATCTATTATTAACATCTATTATATATATCTGGGAACGGGCGAGAGGGGAGAATTACAATATTAAAAATATTATATATTATAAAAAAAAAAAAAAAAAAAAAAAAAAAAAAAAAAAAAAAAAAAAAAAAAAAAAAAAAAAAATTATATATATATATACACTACAAGAAAGAAGAAGAGGCCACAACAAGAAGACACCACGCCGGCATACACAGACCACCAGTGTATGCCGGCTCAAAACCCAGTGACCCGGAGGTAGTGGCCTCCGGAGATGCAGCCGGGGTAAAGGGGTTTACCCCGAGACCCCCACCTCACCCGCCTACACTATTAAGGCGGGTAAGAAGACCCGGATGATGATGAAAATAGTGCTTATAGTACGACAGTGAAAATCCACTAGATGGTGCGCAACGTTCCTTTTGTAAAGTTAAACACTTATTTTATTCGACTACGCGAAGTAAAAAAGAGGATTCTGATTTCATAGTCTAGTCTGTGTTGTAATCCAATAGACCACAAAATAAATTTAATTATTATTAATAATTTAGGAATAAATATAAACTTACAAAACTAAATATAAACTCTACATTTTCATATATTATTATAAAAAAATTACACTCCTTTTTTTTATAAAACCTACTTGATAACAGATGGCGTAAAAAATACATGGGTAAGTTTATAAGCCCTAAAAACAAAAAAAATAATAAAGTTTTGTTTTATAGCAATGTATGTATGTAGTAGTATGATGAAAGCTTAGATGAATAATTATTATAACATAATTGGTAGCTCGACTAGTAAAAAAATAATCCAACGTTCCTACATTACGCTTAAAATGTTACAAAATCTGAAAACTATTGGTCTCTTTTTTTAGTAATCGGGAGTAAATGGGGCGAAAAGGATTGTTAGCAATGGATTTTAACAGCCCTATTGCTAGCAATATACCTTATTAGGTCGACCTCCACGTGGTTCCCCCTGGAAACCATCGTGAACAATTCTTGTTAAATTCGTCACGATGGGCTAACTGACCTACTCCATCCTCACCTATCATTCTTAATTATTTAGCCGCATCTATATGTTGATATTAAAATCACTATTTTAGGCTTTTCTTAAAACACCTATCATTCTTCACTGGTGCCCCGCCGGTGTATATCGATAGCGCGGGTGGGATTACCATTCCATTATCATCCATTTAAATAAAAAAAAAAATCTATTATAAGTATACGAACTATTTGGTTTAAATCCAACTTTTTTTTAATACTTAAAAAAAACTAAACGTCAGTTTAGTTTTTTTGTAAACGTCAGTCTGAGTGACATCTGTCAAGATGTCACTCAGACTGATAATAGAAAGGAAAGATCAGTCAACAAATTTTTTGAATTAAACTTCACTCAAAGAAGCATACAGAATGTAAAAAAAATCAAAATAATAAACTATATATACAGGTCAAAATAATAATAATGAAACCGAAAATGGATTCTATACACATAAATTATAAGTAACACTAACCTAAAATGAAAATCCAAAAGAATAACGTAGAAGGACCGGAAACATGAATGTCATGTCCTAACATAGATATAGAATATCCCGGATTATCCTATATTTGCTCATTAAACGAATTGATTGTGGCTGAAAAAGTAGATACCTTGCACGAAATCATAGGCAAAGAGAACACTGGCTATACAATATTAAAGTACAATATTATAGTATTGGAGAAAAGGTGTTTTTAGCTGTTAAAAAGAAACATTTTAGAAGATTCGACGTGAAAATCTTTAATTATTATGGTAACGAAGTGATTCAAATTAAAAAACCTTTTAAACTTTGTCTAAACAGTGTCTTAGTGTGGGCCCCGCTAGGTAATTACGTTGGTTCTGTAAAACAGACGAGTTGCAAAAACTTTCGTGTCAGGAATAGGTGTGGGGAAATCGTTCTGAAGATAAAAGCTAGAGGACTCTTTCATTTCGTCTACGACGTACTGTCAGGGGATGAAGGAACTGGTGTCGTGATGAAATGTCGGATGGTTTTGAACGTTAAAGACTTTGGAGTCTCTTTTCCTGTGAACATGGATGTTGGAGATAAAGCCGTGATGCTTGGGGCGTGCTTTTTGATCGGCTGTTTGAAATATTAATTCAGAGTAAACATGCAATTTTGTTTTATTTGTATTAATTCTGTATTTTGTATGTGCAGTTGTGCAGTCTATAGTTTGTTTATATGCAGAGGGCTTATAAATAACAAGGGCTCTTCGCATTCAATATTTTTTTACACAACTTAGAATGGCAAACAAGCTGACGGCCCACCGAATGGAAAGTGGTAATCGTCGCCTATAAACATGAGCAGTACCATGGATATAACAGAGTATACTGTTTCGCCCATGATACCCCCCATGCGTTGCCATTCCTGAGGACTCAGGTGTTATTCCTCTGTACTCTGTAAATTCATGCCGTATCCCACCCTTCAAACCGAAATACAGCCATGCAAACACAGCTGCTAATTAGGATCCTAGTATGGAATTCTATTTCTCTGTCTGTTTACTAATGTATCAATTAAGTACAATGGCGGGAATAAAACAAAAATATTAAACTTATAATCAATTATTTATTATTAATTAAGTAATACAAAAATCAGTCTCAATGTGGAATGCCTTAACTAATTTCTGAGCTAATTACATATTTTAACGCCTTTTTTTCTTCTGTGGAGATTTTATTTCTTCTTCCGTAGCATTGCCGTTGGCTTCATTCGTCTCGTTATCAACCGCTTTCCTTCTGACTGGTCCTGTATGTGTTATTGGCACTGCCCTTTCATCTTTCACACCTTTTGTTGCTAATGGTGCGATTACTGTTAACACACCATCCGAAGAAAGCCTCGACTCAACGGTCTCCGGGTTACAGCCTTCTGGCAAAGCGTATCTGCGTTTAAACTGTCTCGACACGAAACCGTGGTCATCTTTCTTCTCTTCGTGTTTACCTTCTATAACGACGAATCCATCAGCTGTCTTCACCGATATCTCTTCCGGAGAGAAATGTTGAACGTCCAAGTTGATCTGAAATTTGTCCTTGTCAGACTTGATAGTAGAACCGAGGTCCCTCGCCGCCAAAGCTAAATTTCTCCACGGACGAATGTACTCGCGGATCTGAAGTGTGGGTCTATCTAAAACGTCCGTCAAGAAGTCGTTGGGAGACAAATCCAACCCAAAAAGCTGATCCCGTAGACGTCGCGGGCGAAATTCGTCCAACAAATACGGTAGTAGCGCCATTTTTTTGTTGCGTAGTTGTGTAGTATTAGGTTTTAATTCACTCGAAGATCGCAAGTAAACTTGCACCAACCAAACACGACGTATCAATTTTAAATACTAGTTGCGAGTGGCGCCGCGCATTGCTTTTATCTAAAAAGCAAGTTGAACGAGATACGCCGAGAACTTTCGTGAAACTATAAATCTGCGCCATCTATTAGCGTATAACAACACTACAGAGTTCTAAACGTTTCTGGAATATCCTTTGGTTATTATTGATTTTAAAATATTTAATAATAAGAAATAATTAAAATAATTTTAGATATATTTAAAAAATGAATTATTTATAACAATATTTTATTAAAGATCTCATTATTACTTACGTACTTTATCTAATGACAATGTAACTTTTGAAAACAGGAACATTGTTACAAAGTATGAACAACGAATGCAGTGTACATAATAAAAAAAGAACAATAGTTTTATTAAAATTAGATATTCAGAAACAATGACTGTGTTATTTATCCTTTCCCCCCAAGCAATTGTGCTTTTTTTTTCATGGGTGAAAATGGAATGGTAACCCTACCTGCGCTAACGGGATACGCGGGCGGGGCACCAGTGAAGAATGATAGGTGAGGATGAAGCAGGTCAGTTAGCCCATCGTGACGGATTTAACAAGAATTGTTCACGATGATTTCCAGGGGGAACCACGTGGAGGTCGACCTAATAGGGCATATTGCTAGCAATAGGGCTGTCAAACTCCATTGCTAATAATCCCTTTCCCCCCATGTAGGTGAGGTTGTGCCCATGATACTACTCATGTCTATAGCCGACGGTTACCACTTACCATCAGGTGGGTCGTCAGTTTTTTTGCCCTTGAGGTTTGCCTTTCTAAGTTGATTAAAAAATGCTTATAAACTATCCGCATCCATCATTCTTAGCGCCATTATTACCAAATGGGCAGAAAAGAGGAATAAGTAATAGGAGGATGGACTAGAAACTACTAGAAGTTTCGAGAAACTTTTGAGCGTGCTGTCTGATTCTGGAGAAAGGATTGTAGCGTAGACTTTTCTAGAAAAGATCCCTTGACATTTTTGATTTATTTAAGTAATATATTAAAAACCCTGTACAAAAACAATAATAGATACCTATTTATTTAGTTAATTATGTATAGGTATACTTTATTTAGCTCAGTACATATTTATTTCAAAATAATTATGCCTAATTACTTGGCATGGACGTACATTATCAATATGATTCCTTATCCTTCTTATCCGTCATGATTACCAATCATCAATGTTTGTTAGTTGTAAAATAAAATCATTTTTTTATCCATCCATTCATAAGAAATACCTACCTTAAAAGTTTATAACCTATAAAACACGTGTACACTACGTAGATAAATATTCTATTAAAATAGATATCTAGTTGAATCAGTTTAATATTTAAAATATACATAATAATATTTTAATTTGTTCTTTTATTGTTATTAATGACAAAGGCAAAAACTAAAATTAGAACAATGGACCGAAATGCAACAAAGCAATAGAAATTCAAATAATATGAAACTAGAGGTCGCTTTTTCATTATTTTATATACATATATTTTAAATATTCAGCAGAAATAAATATAAAATTAGGCACTGGTACTAGAAAAACGGTGTCTCTGCTTACCCCGTTCGAGGTTGATAGAAAGAGAGAAATAACTTTTGCGCTATCAAAATGATTAGTACGAAAAACAACATTAGTCATTCACTATGACATTACATATTTCGATGAATTTCCACGGGCTTCTTTTTTTGTTTAATTTTTATTAATTAGTAAATTTTTAATTTTTTTTTCTAGTAATAAAGCTTTGACAGAACCTACTTACATATAGATACTAGTACATTTGCTAATAAATACCAGCTGATCATAATAAAAAGAATGTTCTAGAAATTATAGGTTTTTTTTATAATAATATTTAATAGGGGCCGTTTAATTATTTTCAGTATGGGGGAAGGATTGTTAAAGAGGACTAACTGTCCCATTACTAAAAAAATAATAAATTCTACATGGTTAACCTCTACACGGTCCCCCTAAAAACCATGATGGTATTTCTAAAGGATTAACCGCTACCACGATCCCATAAAAACGTAAATATCTAAATAGGTACCTAGTTGATATGGTTATTAATTTTTCTTACATTTCCGTTACCTTTCTAGGTATAAAATGGGAATTATCATTATTGAATTAAATAAACCCTTATTTCATTTGACTTCTGAGTTGTATAAAAAGGTTGCGATTAATTATCTCGTAATTCAAATGATTTCAACCAACTTTAAAAATGAGGTTTTAAAGATTTTTGATCATGGTCTGGCTTTGTGACTATAATCATATGTCTAATTAATAGCTGATTAGTGGATAAAATATACGAAAAGTTATGAGAATTATACACTTTTGTACAGTAATAGACAACTGTATTATATCCATTAATAATAAATTACTTTTGAAAAATAAATACATGGATTTGTCTAGAACGCTAAAATGCATACCCGGATATAACTAGCGCCATAAGTGGCGAGTAGCAGAACTAAAAACCGGATACGGGAAGAAAGTTCTAGTAGAATAGCAAATTTTTAAAAGAAGTGTTATTTTATGAAAAAAACGTACAAAATTATGTTACTATTTGGATGTTTTTGATATTTACAAATGATTTAAAATAGCATTTATTGCAATTTTAATTCAAATAAGGCATTTTTGATACAAAATAATGGAAGGTTCTGGAATGTTCCAGAATATTCTACGAACGTATGGTGTACGATAGTAGTGACATCTGGTAGCGAGTAGAAACATTAGGCTACTGTTGTTCAGTTTCGTAAACATTTTTATGCTTGTTCTTCCGAATAATATTTTTATAACATAATATGCAAGAGAAAAATTTGTATTCAGCAAATTTTTCTTATTGTATCTTTTGTTGTATCTTAATTGTGATTTGTAATTGATAGGTGTAATAATAAAAGTAATTTTAAGCCGGTACCTATTTTAGAATACACGGATTCATAATATATAATATACCTAATATAAATAAATACTATGTAATAATAATTCTTACTGACGTTATAGACATAGAAATAAGTTTGTTTGTTATATTGGCGCCCTAATGGTTAAATCAATAATCCAAAAGCTAGGTATACACATACTATTTTTTATGAAGAAAGAAATAGGCTACTTCTGTCCGGCTTAATACTTACTTGTAATAAAATATAAAAATGTGTTTTTATTTCCTCTTATTGCCTCAACGGTCGAAACATTCAACATAAAATTTAGTACATTTAAAGATAATTCTATTCTATTTTTAAAAAAATATCCAAATTCGTTAACCTATTTTTCACCTTTTTTCATATTCTTGTATATAGTAGTAATAGGAATAAAACTATTTGGTGCAAGACTATATTTATTAAAAAAAAAGACAGATAAAGCTATAAAAAAAAAGAAAATTATAATACTTTATTTTGATGAAAAATCTTTAATGTGTTAGTAATAGGATTGAAATGAAACTGTGTTAGTAAAAGACAATATTCATTAACTCAGACGTGCTGTTGCAATATAGATAAAATAGAGTGGCTTACCAGACTGATGATGAGAGGTCCAATGGAGGTTGATAAATATTATACACTGGAGTATCGGGTGAACTTTAGGGGATTTTGACGAGGACCAGACAGATATGCCTCGTTCAAGAGGCAGGTAAAATCTCATTACCTAATTTGATTTGATGTGTAATATATTTTGATCTATTTAGTATATTTATGTATACGTATTATTATTTATATTATACATATATGAATATTTATATATTATAATCTTATTTTTATATAAATGATATTTAGAAAATTTGGTATTTTTTTTTTATTCTTTTTTTGTATTTACTGTGTCTGACTTGCGCCATTTATCTTTCTCTCTGTACTTATCCATTATTTATGCCAGGTAGTCTGTAAGAGATTACTTTTAGCGATAAGGCCGCCTTTTGTATATGCACATTCTGTATAAATACTCCTTGTATACATCTCTATTGTGTGCAATAAAGAATTTATTTTTATTATTATACACTTATTATTACACGATTATCGAAACAGAATACTTTATGTTGACACACGCATTTATTCATTTTTATCAATAGTGAAATGGCGGATTATAACAGATAGCCCTACTAACCACTCATAGACTTTTTACTAGTGCTATTCAACATTAATACTATTTGTTTTGCAGTTGTATTATCTCACAAAAGGACATAATATTTAAGTGCCTCTGTAGCAGACTAGACAATCTGACTTTTCTATAATTATCTGTGGAGCTTTTGGCGCTCGCAGATCTATTAGTAAATAATTTAAGATTGTGTCCAAAAAAATCCGACTTCAATTGTAACAACCCCAGTTATTTTTATTTATATTTATAAGACAAAAAAAAATATTCAAATTGATTTTAATTCATCAATTCATATTAGTAGGGAATTATGACGTAAGAAAAATAAAAAAATGCAACCGAAGATTCATTTTTTGTGTAGAATGAGAATCTCCTAGTTTTCGAAGTCGGTTAGTAATAGAAATATTAAAGCATGATAAAGTACTAAACATTAGAAATAGATGTTAACTTATTTTTTTTTAAGTAGACAGTTTTAAAATTATTATATTAATGTATGCCATATAAAAGTGATTAATATAAATTCCTTTATATTATATGATTATAATTTTATCCACTAGTAGTCAACCTCTGAAAATAAGCGGCCAAAATCGCGAAACTTCTATCCATTCATAGATGTCGCTCGGTCTCGGCGTCTATATAAGCAATCTAACCTTACGTGCCGGCGTCAGTTCAAATAAATTGTCATAGAATAAACTGCTATATCGCTGCGATTAAAAACACGTGCTAATAACCCACGCTAGTCATTAAACCAGTGAATAATAAAAGTTCCGTTAAACCAGTATTACATTTAATTGTGAAATAACCAAGATGCCTGAAGAGATGCAGACCCAAGCCGAGGTGGAGACCTTCGCCTTCCAGGCGGAGATCGCCCAGCTCATGTCACTTATCATCAACACATTCTACTCCAACAAAGAGATTTTCCTTCGTGAAATAATTTCCAACTCATCTGACGCATTGGATAAGATCCGTTATGAATCACTCACAGACCCATCAAAATTGGACAGCGGTAAGGAATTGTACATCAAGATCATCCCCAACAAGAGCGAAGGTACGCTGACCATCATTGACACAGGTATTGGCATGACTAAAGCCGATTTAGTCAACAACTTGGGTACCATCGCGAAGTCTGGCACCAAGGCGTTCATGGAGGCACTGCAAGCTGGTGCAGACATCAGCATGATCGGTCAGTTCGGTGTTGGTTTCTACTCGTGCTACTTGGTCGCCGATCGTGTCACTGTCCACTCCAAGCACAATGATGATGAACAGTACATGTGGGAGTCTGCAGCGGGTGGTTCATTCACCGTTCGACCTGACCACGACGAGCCATTGGGGCGTGGCACAAAAATCGTATTGCACATCAAGGAAGACTTGGCAGAATACTTAGAAGAGCACAAGATAAAGGAAATAGTAAAGAAACACTCTCAGTTCATTGGTTACCCAATCAAGCTTGTCGTTGAGAAGGAACGTGAAAAGGAGCTCTCTGATGACGAAGCCGAAGAGGAGAAGAAAGAGGAAGAAGGTGAAGAAGACAAGCCTAAGATCGAGGATGTAGGTGAGGACGATGAGGAGGACAAGAAAGACAAGAAAAAGAAGAAAACTATTAAAGAAAAATACAGCGAGGATGAGGAGTTAAACAAAACTAAACCTATCTGGACAAGAAATGCTGATGACATCACCCAAGAAGAGTATGGTGACTTCTACAAGTCCCTCACCAATGACTGGGAAGATCATCTGGCCGTCAAACACTTCTCTGTGGAGGGTCAGCTCGAGTTCCGTGCTCTCCTCTTCGTGCCACGCAGGGCTCCCTTCGACCTCTTCGAGAATAAGAAACGGAAGAACCACATCAAGCTGTACGTCCGCCGTGTCTTCATCATGGACAACTGCGAGGAACTCATTCCCGAGTACCTCAACTTCATCAGGGGTGTGGTAGACAGCGAGGACTTGCCTCTGAACATTTCCCGTGAGATGCTGCAACAAAACAAAATCCTCAAAGTTATAAGAAAGAATTTAGTAAAGAAATGCCTAGAGCTGTTCGAAGAGTTGGCAGAGGACAAAGAAAATTATAAGAAATTCTATGAACAATTTAGCAAGAACTTGAAACTTGGTATCCATGAAGATTCACAGAACAGGTCAAAACTGGCCGACTTGCTCCGTTACCACACATCTGCATCTGGTGATGAAGCATGCTCTCTAAAGGAGTATGTATCTCGCATGAAGGATAATCAGAAACACATTTACTACATCACTGGTGAGAACCGTGACCAGGTAGCCAACTCATCATTCGTGGAGAGGGTTAAGAAACGAGGCTATGAAGTAGTCTACATGACTGAGCCCATTGATGAATATGTAGTACAACAAATGAGGGAATATGATGGAAAGACCCTTGTTTCTGTTACAAAGGAGGGTCTGGAGCTGCCTGAAGATGAAGAGGAGAAGAAGAAGCGTGAGGAAGACAAAGTTAAGTTTGAAAACCTCTGCAAAGTCATGAAGAACATCTTGGACAACAAAGTTGAGAAAGTGGTTGTTTCCAACCGCCTTGTAGAGTCTCCTTGCTGCATTGTTACGGCCCAGTACGGCTGGACCGCCAACATGGAACGTATCATGAAGGCTCAGGCTCTGAGGGATACTTCCACTATGGGTTACATGGCAGCCAAGAAGCACCTCGAAATTAATCCTGACCATTCCATTGTAGAAACTCTGCGACAGAAAGCTGAGGCTGATAAGAATGACAAGGCAGTGAAAGATCTGGTCATCCTATTATACGAGACTGCTCTCTTGTCTTCTGGCTTCACACTTGATGAGCCTCAGGTCCATGCTTCCCGCATCTACCGCATGATCAAGCTTGGTCTTGGAATTGATGAGGACGAGCCCATCCAGGTTGAGGAGTCTAGCGCTGGTGATGTGCCCCCGCTGGAAGGTGATGCTGATGATGCATCACGCATGGAGGAAGTTGATTAAATCTCTTTACCGCCTATAGATAAGTTGTGTATGTGAAGTTTTGTGCACTGGTGTACAGCCAAAGACTGATTTAGTTCAAAAAATTCCATTATTGAAAATAAATGGTAATGTTAAATAATTTATTTTGGTATTTTCATTTTCCCTGCACTGAATTTGTAGATAGGTAGGAAAATGGACATAATTCTGTGTTCAAATAGTAAATTTAGAAATAATTTAAAAAATTTATTAAAATTACAATAAATAGAGCAAGTAGACGTTATTCAATTAAAAATTAATTACAATGATTAATTGCTTAGGAAAAATTTATATAATACTGTATCCAAATAGTAATTTTAAAAGTTTATTAAAAATAAAATAAATTAACTAGGTATGTTTTCACTTGGAATTAATTGACATATTTCTTTAATATATAAATTTTATAAAATTAGACCTTCATTGATACATATTCTAAAATGTCATTTTAATTTAAATGCAATAATTGTTAATACATTGATCCTGTGTTGACCACCATTCAGTTATTCTTGTCCATTTCTGGACAATATATGTCTTGTCATACGTTAAATTATGAGCTATCTATGGGTTTCCTTCATCCTTCCATCATCATTTCCTATTTACATACAGGGATATTATTTAAAAACCATTCATTGCTTACATTCTTTCTGTAATGTGAATGTATAGTGGCCATAGATCGAGTATAATCTACTTATACTGACAGTCATAATTTAATCTTTGTTTTTAAACGACTACCACCACCATTTGACAGTTTAGAATCTTAGATCATTATGGTCCTGGGACGCCATTTTATTTTACTATTCTTGGAATATCTCTGTTATACCGCTCAAAACAGTGGTATAGTAGCTATTCCCGAATAAAATCGTTAATCTTAGAATTGTAAATAGTAAAACGTAAAATTATTCTCGAATAACCAGCACTTTAATCTAAGAATAAAATTTATTCTCGTTTGGTCGAATCCGCCCTAAGAAAAAGTTCTCAATTTATAATTTTTTATTACCTTAGAACACTGACGTTTATAAACAGATTTAGTAAAATTCTTTTTTTTTTATCTGAAAGGACATACAGATTGGTCTCGTAGAGATTTTATTAAAATTGATTCAGTAATTTAATAAATGGTTATTCCACGATAAAAGTTGGGTTTTATTGTGAAGCAACATTTATTTTGGACTTGGCACAATCATTGAAGGCACAATGCATAACTACAATAATTTAGGGAAAAGTTAAAATGAATATTACTTTTATATCTGATTTCATTAGATCTATACTCTAGAGTTATGGGATATGGCAGTGAATTGACAGGGTACAGAGGAATAACACCTGAGTCCTCAGGAATGGCAACGCATGGGGGGTATCATAGGCGAAACAGTATACTCTGTTATGTCCATGGTACTGTTCATGTCTATAGGCGACGATTACCACTTTCCATCAGATGGGCCGTCAGCTTGTTTGCCATTCTATGTTGCATAAAAAATAGTTTAAACGTACCTACTCCATTTTTAATGTGTTATATAACTATATCTTATCATAATATACCTTGAATTAATAATCAAAGCACATTATTGAATAGTTACTCATATTCGTATAGAGTGGCTATTTATTTGAAAAGGTTTTTTTTATACAACTTAGAATGGCAAACAAGCTGACGGTCCACCTGATGGAAAGTGGTAACCGTCGCCTATAGACATGATCAGTAGCATGTACACAACAGAGTATACCGTTTCGCCCATGATATCCCCTATGCGTTGCCATTCCTGAGGACTCAAGTGTTATTCCTCTGTACCCAGTAAATTTACGCCATATCTCACCCTTAAAACCGAAACACAGCCACGCAAATACAACTGTAACCGTTTTTTTTTTTGTGGAAGACAATTTTTCACCAAAGTATAGTTTGGTTATGATTTTCAACAAACTTAAAAAAGAAGCAGGTCTTTAGTTTGGTTGTTACATTTTTTTTTATCACTTATTCTTAAACCGATTTGAAAAATTCTTTATATAAAAACAGTCAATTTTTATTTTCGTTATTTCAATAATTAAAAGTATCATCATCGTTTCAGCCATTATCCGTCCACTGCTGGATATAGGCCTTCCCCATAGACCGCCATAAGGAACGGTCCTGAACCACCTGCATCCACTGACACCCCGCAATGCATTTCAGGTCGTCACTCCAACTTAGAGTATGTTCTAAAAAAACAATATTAATTGTAGCAAAACCAGTTATTTTGATCCAAAAAAACTAAAGTACTATACCGATTTTGATAAAATTTCTATGAAACCAACCTGTAAGTATAATCTTTCAGATAGAAAAACAATTTTCCAAATCGGTTCACAATTGACTGAATTATGAGGTAATAAACATAAAAAACTAATTAAGGACCTATTTAATTTTGAAATCGGTTGATAGTAAATTCTTTATAAAAATAGATTCGACGCTCGCCTCGACGCTTCCAGTTTTTTCTCCGTCGAGTTTCGTTGCCGCTTCCCGCGCACCGCTCGCGCTGCACTGGCGTCATCTGTGTACTCCGACCGACGACCTACATTGTCTGTCTACGATACTAGCGATCAATAGCACAGACGCCGCCTCTGCAACTTTCCAGTCCTTCTAGAATATTCTATTTATACTTTCATGTCTGGAACATTTATGAATGTAAATAGGCGCTCTGATATTTATCACATTGTTTATGGTACTAAAATAAAAATACAGTGAACGCTCTATATAAGCAACTCATTTGAACCAATTTCAATATAAAAAAAATCTTATTGGGAAAAGTCGCTTATAGGAGAAAAAGGAGTGTAAAAATACATACTGGCTGGAAAATATTTTTACTTATTTCTTTTATATAGAGAGGTTGATTATATAGAATGTTCACTGTGTTGTCTAGTAAATAAATAAATAAATAAATAAATTGTCTATTCAAGTAATCTTCATTATTAGTATTTTTAAAACCAGAGGGAGACTTTGTACAAAAATCTTTTGCTTGGGTACCTCTATCCCATTCGTCTTTCTACCGTAAAGCAGTTGTTTGCATGGCTGTGTTTCGGTTTGAAGGGTGGGATATGGCGTAAATTTACAGAGTACAGAGAAATAACACCTGAGTCCTCTGGAATGGCAACGTATGGGGAGTATCATGGGCGAAACAGTATACTCTGTTATGTCTATTGTACTGCTCATGTCTATAGGCGACGGTTACCACTTTCCATCAGGTGGGCCGTCAGCTTGTTTGCCGTTATAAGTTGTATAAAAAAAAAACACAGCTGTTGCTTTTTGCAAAAAAAGTAAACTCATTACAACAAAAATCATTCATTTATTTTATCATCAGAAATTTAAGCAAGACATAAGCAGTACCATGGACATGACAGAGTATACTGTTACGCCCATGATAGCCCCCGTACGTTGCCATTCCTGAGGACTCAGATGTTATTCCTGTGTACCCTGTAAATTCACTGCCATATCTCACCCTTCAAACCAAAACAGAGCCATGCAAACACAACTGCTTCACGGTAAAACACGAATAGAAGTGCCAAAAAGGACTTTTGTAGAAAGTCTCCCTCGGGTAACGTTATACGATTCTATGTATTTGTAATGTTTACAATGGAAATGTCTCAAAATACCTAGCTCGTTTCGCGCCTAAATATATATTATTCACCTAAATACATACCTACTTACGTGTATGACGCACACACGTCAAGATTTCTTACTACTAGCTAATATTATATATATATATATATTTGTGAGTTTGTTTACCTCTAGGCTAACCACTATAAAATTTGGTATACATTCCGTTTTTCTACCCTGAAACAGCTGAATTTTTTTAATGGATGATAATGGAATGGTAACCCCTCCTGCGGGGGGAAAGGGATTGTTAATAATGGAGACTAAGAATCCCATTGCTAGCAATATACCCAACCAGGTCGACCTCCTCGCGGTTCTCCCTGAAAACTATCATAGTTAATTCCTGATGAATTCATCATGATGGGCTAACTAGCCTGTTTTCATCCTCATCGTTCACCCTTCACTGGTGCCCCGCCAGCGTATCCAATCAGGCAGGGGTTACCATTTCATTTTCACGTATAAAAAAAAACCCTCCTGCACTAACGGTATACGCTGGCGAGGCACTAGTGAGGGATGATAGGTGAGAATGGAAAGGCAGGTCAGTTAGCCCATCGCGACGAATTCAACAAGAATTGTTCACAATGGTTTCCAGGGGAAACCACGTGGAGGTCGACCTAATAGGGCATATTGCTAGCAATGAGGCTGTCAAACTCTATTGCAAACAATCCCTGTTCCCCCAGTTTAAAGGGTAGGTATCATGAGCGAAACAGTATACTGTGTTATGTCCATGGTACTTTTTTTTAATAGGTGAAAATAGAATGGTAAACCCGCCTGCGCTATCGGTATACGCTGGTGGGACACCAGTGAAGGATGATAGGTGACAATGAAAGTAGGTCAGTTAGCCCATCATGACCAATTCCACTAGAATTAACCACAATGGTTTCCAGGGGGAACCGCGTGGACGTCGACCTCATATTGCTAGCAATGGGCCCTGAGAACCTATTACTAATAATCCCTTTCCCCTCAGTTACACAGGTTATTCTGCCTGAAAAAGCCTGTCTTTCAATAATAATAATTGGTAAGTACATATTTACAAAAAGATGTAAATACCTACCTAGCGTAGGTAGCATAGATACTTATCTATGCTACAATTAATAAAAAAACATTTATTTTTAGCATTAAATCTGGTTTCATCATCCATTATAAAAAAACTATAGTAGTTCAAAGAATATGGAATACCTATTATGGGCAGGAAGGTAGGGTAGAAAATTCTAGTACCTACCTACCACCTACCTGCTATTGATTCATTCATTCAAAACAGCTGCCGTGACCGTGACACGGTCAAAACATTCTCTATCTCTTTTTAGCTTCGCAGCTGCGCGCTCGCGCCATTGTGACGCGCCAATGCGATGACTTCCAGATATTTCTCCCACATATTACTACAACAAGGTAGTGATTTTTCCCCAAAAAATTGAGAATATATCGATTAATATAATGTAAAAAATATAAATGTCTACTAAATGTAAATGTTTAATGTTTTTAGCATATAAAAAAAGGTCAGTTTAATAAAAAACATACAGTTTTGTAGCCATAAATTTTATCTATATTTATAATAAATCTGTAGAGAGGTCAATTCTGTACATGAAATATATTTCCAAAATAACTATCAGCGGGTGATTAGTGATCGATACTGATGCCAAAAATGCAATCAGTAAAATTTTTGTCTGTCTGTATGTATGTTTGTTATAGAAACAAAAACTACTCGACGGATTTTAACGAAACTTGGTACAATTATTCTTCATACTCCTGGGCAGGTTATAGTATACTTTTCATCACGCTACGATCAATAGGAGCAGAGCAGTGAAAGGAAATGTAACTGTTACATCAAAAGTACTGAACCTTGAGGAAGGACATAGGCTATTTATTTTACAAAAAACGAACGGAAACGCGGACAAAGTCGCGGGCAATAGCTAGTATACTTATAACTTTATTTATAATTTTTTTTTTTATTTTCCTTATTGTATCCTGGGTCCTGCTAACAATTCCCGGTCAGGCTAACTAAGTAAACGAACTTTCTGGATTAATTCGTATCAGGGTTTTTAAGGCTCTGCTCTCAAATGTCCATTACTTTGTTCCTATAATCAGGATATACACACAAAAAATAATTACCTTAAAAAGAAAAATTATAATTAATACCCGAATATGATTCGGGTTCCTGTCATAATAATTTATTTACTTGAGCAATATTTATTAATAATAAAATATAATGTAAATTGATGTTATAATAAGGATAGATTTGATTTTTTGTTTATAATGATAAACTCAAATCTACTTGATCAAATGTTATAAATGAAAAACTAAGCAAGTAACATGCATTGTTTTTAATTTAAAATAAAATCGTTTGAAACAGCAGCCTGCTGCAATTAATATATTATTGAAATTTAAAGCTGACTACAGACAATTTCAAACAGTCATATGGTTCTTATGTTTTCAGTTATATTCCCTTAAAAACGGGTGTTTTTCCACGTTGGTCACCCCTGACGTAAAATGTTATTTCTAGAGCTTTGTGCTTATTGGCCGACGACTCGACACTTCGAGAACTTTCGTTACGTTTCTCGTTTCCTATTGGCTGTCTCGCGAGAGCTATGGACTTTTCTAGATTCCTATTCGTTTACTATATAAGAGTCGTCAATGGCGCGGGAACTCAGTATTATTTGAAACAAGCAACTAGTTATACGAAGTGAAGAAGAGTTCGGTGCAGACCGAAGCGATTTATTATTAAACAAGAGATATTTGAGATTATAGTGAACGTTAAATAATCGTAAAACAAAATGCCAGCTATTGGAATAGATCTCGGTACTACATATTCCTGCGTCGGTGTGTGGCAACATGGCAACGTGGAGATCATCGCGAACGACCAGGGCAACCGTACCACACCATCCTACGTCGCCTTCACGGACACGGAGCGGCTGATCGGTGACGCGGCCAAGAACCAGGTCGCTCTCAACCCTAACAACACGGTGTTCGACGCTAAGAGATTGATCGGCCGCAAATTCGACGACCCCAAGATACAACAGGATATGAAGCACTGGCCCTTCAAAGTGATCAGTGACAGCGGCAAGCCCAAGATCCAGGTGGAGTTCAAGGGCGAGACGAAGAGGTTCGCCCCGGAGGAGATCAGCAGCATGGTGCTTACTAAGATGAAGGAGACGGCCGAGGCATACCTGGGCACCACAGTCCGTGACGCCGTGATCACAGTGCCGGCCTACTTTAACGACTCTCAGCGGCAAGCCACCAAGGACGCCGGAGCCATCGCCGGCCTGAACGTGCTTCGCATCATCAACGAGCCCACGGCCGCCGCACTCGCGTACGGCCTCGACAAGAACCTGAAAGGCGAACGGAACGTTCTCATATTCGACCTGGGCGGCGGCACGTTCGACGTATCCATCCTCACCATCGACGAGGGCTCCCTGTTCGAGGTGAAGTCGACGGCGGGCGATACACATCTCGGCGGCGAAGACTTCGACAACAGACTAGTGAACCATCTCGCGGACGAGTTCAAACGCAAGTACAAGAAGGATATGCGGATGAACCCACGCGCACTGCGCCGCCTCCGCACCGCCGCCGAGCGCGCCAAGCGCACGCTGTCCTCCAGCACCGAGGCCACCATCGAGATCGACGCGCTCTACGAGGGCATCGACTTCTACACACGCGTGTCTCGAGCCCGCTTCGAAGAGCTCAACTCTGACCTATTCCGCGGCACCCTCGATCCCGTGGAGAAAGCACTGAAGGATGCTAAACTCGACAAAAGCCAGATCCACGATGTCGTTCTCGTCGGCGGCTCTACCAGGATTCCCAAAGTGCAGAATTTGCTGCAGAACTTCTTCTGCGGCAAGCAGCTCAACTTCTCCATCAACCCAGACGAGGCAGTTGCGTACGGTGCTGCCGTTCAAGCTGCTATATTGAGCGGCGAGACCGACTCCAAGATCCAGGACGTGCTGCTAGTGGACGTGGCTCCTCTATCGCTCGGCATCGAGACCGCCGGCGGCGTGATGACGAAGATCATCGAGCGCAACTGCAAAATCCCATGCAAACAGTCTCAGACATTCACCACATATTCCGACAATCAGCCCGCCGTCACGATCCAAGTGTTCGAGGGAGAGCGCGCGATGACCAAGGACAACAACCGTCTGGGCACCTTCGACCTGACGGGCATTCCGCCGGCGCCACGAGGTGTGCCCAAGATTGACGTGACATTCGACCTGGACGCCAACGGCATCCTGAACGTATCCGCCAAGGAGAACAGCACCGGACGCAGCAAGAACATAGTGATCAAGAACGACAAAGGACGTCTGTCGCAGGCGGAGATCGACCGCATGCTCGCGGAGGCGGAGCGGTACAAGGAGGAGGACGAGAAGCAGCGGCGACGCGTGGCGGCGCGCAACCAGCTCGAGTCGTACGTGTTCAGCGTGAAGCAGGCGCTGGACGAGGCCGGCGACAAGCTGAGCGAGCAGGACAAGAGCACCGCGCGCAGCCAGTGCGACGAGGCGCTGCGCTGGCTCGACAACAACACGCTGGCCGAGCAGGAGGAGTACGAGCACAAGCTGAAGGAGGTGCAGCGCGCGTGCTCGCCCATCATGAGCAAGATGCACGGCGCGGGGGCGGGGGCGGGGGCGGGGGCGGGCGGCATGCCCGGCGGCAACCAGTACCAGCCGAGGAGCGACGGCCCCACCGTGGAGGAGGTGGACTGAACTGTGAAACGGACAATCTCAAACCCCTAGTCCCTAGTGTACCTTAATTTGTTTTGTTCAAATGTGATATTAATATTAAGACTGATTCCTATTTATTGACACTACAGCAGATGATCATCTTCTTGGATAAGTAAAAAATAAGTAAAATAATTTTAAAATAATTGTAATAAGTAATTTTAAAAATAAATAAATAAATAATAAATTAATTATATTTTTGTTTTATTCATTACAACCAGTATAAATCTATAAAAATAATTAGGTGGACAAGGTTAGCAGTTAGTTCCTAAACTAATTAAGTAATGAACATTCTAAGAATCTATAATCCCAAATTCAACGGCTTAATGGTATAATATAATGGTATCTTAATTATATAATATTATTAGTTTTCTATATATCAGGTTAATTTATTATGAACTGAAACATCTCTATTTTCTGTGAAATTTATGTCTTAATCACAACCTTTTGAAGGACAATATTAGGTACTTTTTTGTCCACATAACCCTCTCAAGGCAAACATTAAGATACTTAAAGTATCTAAACTTGCATATCCCGTTTAGTTATACAATACAAACTATTGAAATATAGTAGTTATTTTATACACACGTCAATGCCGTTTCATTTAAATCTGTTTAGCAAACATCTAAAGATCTATTAATGGGCTATGATGCAAAACTAGGTGTATTTATATCTTAGGTTGGTATAAACAACGTTTATTATCACATAATTGTACCACATCACAGACATTTTCAATAAATAAAGAATTTAAAAGACAATATTTTTCGAAGATATAAATAGCATTGCTGAGGTAGCGCCATCTAGTAATGATATGAATGATTATAAGAACAATGCTTTTTGGATGACGATATTTGGCGATAGCAGGCGTTACAGGGGGGAAAGGGATTGTTAGCAATAGAGTTTGACAACCCCATTGCTAGCAATATGCCCTATTAGGTCAACCTCCACTTGGTTCCCCCTGGAAACCATCGTGAATAATTCTTGTTGAATTCCTCACAATGGGCCAACTGACCTGCTTCATCCTCACCTATCATTCTTCACTGGTGCTCCGCCAGCGTATCCCGATAGCGCAGGCGGGGTTACCATTCCATTATCGCCCATTAAGAAAAAAAAAAGTAGGCGTTACAGACGGTGAGACTGTTCCCTAGCGGCAAGTGTAGGAACTATTAGGAAATTCATACTTTGTTTTTATTTTGTATCAAGTTTTTTGTTCTCTTTTAAAAATATTAACATTCAATTTAAGCTAAAAATAAAAGAAATGCAGTACGAATATATAACTTCAACAGCGACTCCTTTCGTTAGTTTGATTTCCTTTATCTTATTTGTTGAACAATGCTAATAGAATAATCACCATCGTCATATCAGCCTTTACCTGTTCACTGCTGAACAGAAACCTCTTCCTTGAGAGTTTTGGCAGTAGTTGCCACGCTTGGCAGGCAGATTGGCAACCGCAGTCAGCCTTTGTAGATGTTTTAAGAGGAACGCTGCTGTCCATCCCTCACCCTCCTTTAGTCGGTTCTTACGACACCCACGGGAAAGGAAGGGGTGGCCTATTCTATGCCAGGATTACCCGGCCAAATATATAGAATAAAGATAATATAGAATTGTTATAGTAAGTAGTATTTATATGTATTTGATATTTTTGTGCATTACAGGTTTTTGTATTTTATGCACGAAAAATTATTAATTCACTCTTGCGCCACCTACCCACTTCTATCTGTTCTCCTTTAACCAAAGGTTGTCTGTAAGAGATTGCACTAGCGATAAGACCGCCTTTTGTACCTTCATGTGTATATTTCAATCTGTATTTATGTTACTGTATTTCACTTGAATTATTCACTTGTCATTGTATATTTTTATTTATGGTGCAATAAAGATTTAAATAAATAAATAAATAATATTTTATTTAAATTAACATTCCATAATATTTCAAGCTGCTGTTTACATAACAGGATTTATATTTTATGCACTGGAGTCTCCAGATGGCGCAACTAGAAGCATTGTCAATTTTTTTTTATGGGATCAAAACGTAATGGTAACCCCGCTTGTGTTATCGCTATACGCTGGCGGGGCACCAGTGAGATGTGACAGGTGAGGATGAAAGCAGGTCAGTTAGCCTATCGTGACAAATGCAAAAAGTATTAGTAATAAATGATTTCCAGGGGGAACCGCGTGGAGGTCGACCTGACAGGGCTTGCTAGCAACGGGGCCATTAGTCTATATTACTAACAATCCCTTTCCCCCCGGACACGTGCGTTTATTGTTTATTATTGAGAGAGTGTGGGTAGGAGACAGTTATTCATAATTGAAGTACCTGTTTAAATGTCTTTTATAATACAGCCTTAAACAGATTCACGAAAACTGTAAAAAAACCAAGCTAAACAAACAGACAAAATTTTACTGATTGCATTTTTGGCATCAGTATCGATCACTAATCACCGGCTGATAGTTATTTTGGAAATATATTTCATGTACGGAATTGACCTCTCTACAGATTTATTATAAGTATAGATAGATTGGGACAGTATATGGATTTTGTAACTGAAATATATAGATATAGCTATATATATACTCACCCCTTGTAATGATACGCCATGCCATTCGAGAACTATCTTTTTTTTTATAGGGTTTTGTTTGTTTTCAAAAGTTCTTTATTTATCATAAGTGTTTACAAATATAATAAATTCCAGTGTACGTAAGCCTAGAATTTACAATCAGCCATAAATCGTTTGGCGAGTAATATACACTCCTTCAAACATTTAAAATAGAGATACAAGTATCTATAAATCTACACAACATAAAAAACTTACATTACATGATGTAACTTATTGATTATAATCATAAAATAAACACAAAATGCACATATTTGTAAATTGTATTATAACAAAAAAAAAAAAAAAAAAATCATACAATTATTTTGGGAGGGTAGTTTGAACCCAAATAGTACCAAGTTGGTAACAGGTAGCAGTAAGTAAGTAAAGTAAGCAGGTAGGTACCAAGCGGCAGGTATCAGCAATCATTTTTTATAGGGTAATGTCACAATAATTTATTTACATTATACCTGCGTCAGTGTTACATTTTTACTACACTCCTAATGCTAACCACAGCTAAAATGGAGGGAAAGGGATTGTTAGCAATGGAATTTGCCAGCCCCATTGCTAGCAATATACCCTATCAGGTCGACCTCCACGTGGTTCCCCCTGGAAACCATCGTGAACAATTCTTGTTGAATTCATCACGATGGGCTAACTGACCTGCTTCATCATCACCCATCATCTTTCACTGGTGCCTCGCCAGTGTACAGTTGAGCTTGAAAATGTATCTCTATGCTCTATTTCTGGCCCTGTAAATTGCTAAAAACTGTAGACCAGGGGTTCCCAAAGTTATTTTGTCTACTGCCCACTTTGAGAATAAATTATTTTTAGCGCCCCCATTTTTTCACCTATTTAAAAACCACTATTACTTCAAGATCAACAAATCATCCTAAAAGCCTCCACACAACGCCCCCTTTTTTTCTAGGTCGCTTTAGGCCTACAGTGCCTACAAGGGGGCGTTATCGCCCCCTTTGGGAACGGCTGCCGTAGACTTATTACGTTCTGATACAAACCTACATATTTCACAATAATGTAAAATCAATCGCAGAACTGTCACTTTCAATTTTTTTTTATACAACTTAGAATGGCAAACAAGCTGATGGTCCACCTGATGTAAAGTGGTAACCGTCGCCTATAGACATGAGCAGTACCATGGACATAACAGAGTATACTGTTTCGCCCATGAAACCCCCCATGCGTTGCCATTCCTGAGGACTCAGGTGTTATTCCTCTGTACTCTGTAAATTCACGCCATATCTCACCCTTCAAACCGAAACACAGCCTTGCAAACACAACTGTTTCACGGTAGAAACACTAATGGGACAGAGGTGCCCAAGCAATCGACTTTTGTACAAAGTCTCCCTCAAATTTTCTAAATTTGTTCGATATTTACAATATGATATAGCTCGACTATGACGGGTAGACAGAGTTGTCGAAATTTTGATATTTTTAATAGAATAAGAAAAATTTGTATATTTTATGTACTTTATGTTATTCAATGATAATGTAGTTTTATAAAGGTGTAAGAACATAATTAAAATCGGTTAAATAATTTTGAAGGTAATCTATTTTTCTTTTTCAATGGATGATAATGAAATGGTAACCCCGCCTGTGCTAACGGTATACGCTGGCGGAACACCAGTGAGGGATGATAGGTGAGGATGAAAAGGCAGGTCAGTTAGCTCACCGTGATGAATACACCTAGTGGGGGGAAAGGGATTGTTAGTAATGAGATCTAACTGACCCATTGCAATACACTCTATCAGGTCGACATCCACGCGGTTCCCCCTGGAAACCATCGTGATTAATTCTAGTGGAGTTTGCCACGATGGGCTAACTGACCTACTTTCATCGTCACTTATCACCTCTCACTGGCGCTCCGCCTGTGTATACCGATAGCGCGGGCGAGGTTACCATTTCATTATCATCTATTAAAAAAAAAATACACCTAGAATTCAGCATGATGGTTTCCAGGGCGAACCACGTGCAGGTCGATCTGATAGGGTATATTACTAGCAATGGGGTGATAATCCGCATTACTAACAATCCTTTCCCCCGTTAAGGTAACCTATTACAAACAAAAAAAAGCAAATTTTTCCTTCTTATAATATTAGTATAGAAATATATATTTGTTTATAGTATAATGTTCTATTCTCTCAATTTAGACATACAGTTTCTCCACAGTAGATACCCACTGCTCATTCCTTGTTTTTTTTTTGCTGGGTCAAAATGGTATGGTAACCCCGCCTGCGCTAACGGGATATGCTGGCGGAGCACCAGTGAAGGGTGATAGGTGAGAATGAAAACAGGCCAGTTAGCCCATCATGATGAATTCATCAGGAATTAACCATGATAGATTCCAGGGAGAACCGCGAGGAGGTCGACCTGGTTGGGTATATTGCTAGCAATAGGATTCTCTGTCTCCATTACTAACAATCCTTTTCCCCCCAATACATATCGTTGATACCTACTTACATATCTACATACCATTACTAGGGGAAGAAGGATTGTTAGTAATGTAGGACTAGCAACGCCTTTGTTAGCAATAAACTCTATCAGGTCGACCTCCTCGCGGTTCTCCCTGGAAACCATCATGATTG